GATGTTTGGTAAATTTCCACTGGGGAAAAAAGAGTTAAAGAAAATTAAAAGCAGCATGTCTCATTCTTGCCATCATTAAACTCAAGAATCTGTGTACAAAGAGGAGAAACAGTTGGCAAAACAGAATTTGTACAAATGTACACATCCCAACGATGCCTGCATGCAAATTTTTCAATAAGATTGTTTTCCTTTTGTTAGAATGTAGGAGAACCAAGAATCCATGCTAAGTCACTGTTAGATATACATATATATAATTATGGCTTGTACAGCAAAATTGTGTAATTGTGTACTCCTCCCCTCTTTATGTTGAAGAAGACTATGGCTGTCTGTGTGTTTTTTGTTTTTTTGTTGTAAGTTGCAAGATACAGCTGTATCAAAATGACAAACTTTAGCAGTGCAAGAATGGTTTAGTTGGACTAATGGAATTTGCATGCTCCCTTTAGCCCATTGACTCTCATGCCGCCCATAACGGGCCGTGGCGAGTGTTGGCCTTTGCTTCACTTCTGACATCATCACCTCTGACCAAAATTGGCATCATCTATACTCAAGTTCTGCAGGCCAGGAGGAAAAGATCTTTCCACTGATACCCAGATCAGAGTGATTGGCTCAATGAAGCCTGAGATATGCATGAAAATGCTTAGAAATTTGAGTGAGAAACTCGCGGCAAAATTTCCTGCGACTACACTTAGCTACTCCAAGATCTAGCTACTTAGCTACTCCAAAATTTTTCAGAAATTTTTGAACTGGGAGCAAGCCCAGTAGAAGGTCAATCTCTGCAGCAAAAAGATGAGAAAAGGAGAAAATGAAAAGGTGACAAAAAAAAATTAAAAGAGCATTAAGACATAGGTCGCTTTCTCGTCCCAAAACTATCTCGGAATTTTGATTTCTGTGCATGCCCGAGCAGAAATGTTGTAAAAACGCGATGCCAGTGGAAAGAACGGCATGCTGTCATTTTGCAAATGCCTTTTTGAGTAGATTGGAGCTAATTTGGCCCATATCCAGGCTGAAAATCTCCAAAATGTCCAAAAAATGCGTTTTTGGCAAAAAGCTCCCGGAGTCAATGGGCTAAATTTATTGACATCAGTCTGAACCCTATTCGATGTGATTCAGTTCAGAAAACATTGAGGAGACATTGCCTTAATCTACAAATTCTCTATGCTATATTGGCATTTCATTAGGGGAGTTAGCATTTTGAACTTAATGGAAACTAAATACATATAAATAACAATGAGACCTAAATTTTGTTTTCCAGATGAGATGTACATGTAAACAGGGAACCAAGTGGATCAGAAACTTGGAAATCAGGATTCACATGTAGCAGTTATCCAGGTAAACTAATAAAAGTGATTTACAGTTATCGTAAACACCAACGGATAAGCCGCACCTTTTTACTCAAAATTTTCCTTAAAAATCAGGGATGTGGCTTATCTGCGAGAACATCTGGACAACATGTCATAAATTTGCACAAATTAATACTTTCCATCGAAAATTGATAAGCCAGTAAAGCAAATTAATAAGAACTTCAGTAAACAAAAAATATCAGACATGGCTCCTAAAAGAGCTGTTTCAGTTCATAATTACAAGTTTACATTTCTTGCTGCGAAACTGCATTAAACCTTCATTAAAAAATCTTTTAGCCAGTTTAAGGCCACCATTCCAGCTCAGTCTAGAGAAGCTAAACGTTGCGTGTCAGGGAATCTCCATTCCGCCACAAAGCTGTTTCCATGTCAACAAAGAAAGCTTCGAGAGCTACTCATGTCCAGTACTCCATGTCCTGGTGAAATGCCTGGCTACTAAGCTACGAATGAATGTGTTCTTGTTCTTTTTGTTGTAATGTTGATACTATTGCAAAACTAAAATTATAGGTTAGCGTTTCAGTTTGAAGTATTCTCTGGTTTCAATGTTTGTGAGTTTATGCCGGTTTACTTCCATAAATCAAGAAATGTACATGTAAATAACTTTCTCGAGCTCCACTTGTGAAGTATTTGATTTCTTTCCCAAACTGTTTTTTTCCTGAAATTTGAGTTCCCAAACTCGGGGTGTGGCTTATCTGCGAGTGCGGCTTATCCACCAGTGTTTATGTTATATTATTCTTGCTTAATCAAGTTTTTACTGCTTTGTAGCATTCTTATTGTAACAGTTATGCCATTTTTCAGGGCTTTTGTTTTTTTCATGACCTGCAAAAATCTTCACTCAAAATCATTATTCCACTCACATTTTTTTCAGCAAAATTTTCACTACTCAAAATTGCAATGGTTTTTTTTTTATATTTTAATTAAAATATAACTTTCATTTAGTGGCAAGAAAGATGTCCAACCTTGAAATTCTTTCTTATAAGTGCTAAGGCTCTGAAATGTGACATATTGTCTTTTCTTTTTCATTGCGGCCTTTTTCACCTGGTTTAGCCTGAAATTGCACTGAATTCCTCTTTTGCACTCTATTTTAAATTTGCATTGATAAACTAGAAACTGGACTTTAATCTATTTAAATGATTAACTAATTGACTGGCTAATTGAGAGGTTGATTGGCTGGTTGATGGACTGGCAGAAAGACTAATTAGCACTTTTTTAGTACACTTGGGAAATTTTTAAGTACACTTGTGAAGTGCGTCAACTTGTTGTTTTCTATGTGCTTCTCTTGTGTTCTTTGAAGTTCCCATGACATGCTTACTTGTATATATGTATAACTCAACAATGTACTTAGGTATGTTACAGTGCATTTATTGAAACCGGGGCCACCCAGACAATGAAAAACAATTAGATGGCAGAACTGAAACAATAGATTCCAACATTTTCAAATCCAGCCAATCAAATGTCCTATTTTCAAATCCAGCCAATCAAATGTCCAGTACAAAACAGTGAAATCTCAACTTCTGCATTGTGATGCTTATGCGATTAATAAATTGGTAAGCTCAAACCATTAGTTTCGCGTGCTTGCAGATTTAATGTAAGAAGAATTATATGCTGCCCCGCTTTCTGTGGGTTGTTTGATTTAGAAAATACATTGAAAGAAAAGCTGCTTAAGATCACTCATAAATATATATCGCCACCAGAGTGTGCGGTGTAGGGTTTGAATATTGTTGCTGCTGTTTAAAAGAAACCCTTCAAATGGTCTCTGAGTAGTTTCGCATGTGAACAGTTTGAAAATATGTACAAATTGAAATGGGATTATTTTCGACGTAACTGAAAGGAGCTGAAAGCAAATTTCAAGTAACAGAAAAAATGAAAAGTTAACTTGATACAAAAATGGACTTGTAACCTGAATTCTTTGCTCACAATATCTTGGATTTTTCTATCCAGGGGACGTTTGGTGCTATCGTCTTTTGCTTTTGCCTGAGTGATTTTATACGCTGAGGCTTTGATAGTACAATGCGGAAAAAAAATTTGTTTGAATTTTCCATGAAGGTATTATGTCAATACACTGATAATCAGAAAGGGTGCTCAAACTCTGAAATGTACAGCTGCTGAGACAGTGAAAGCGATGGTTTTTCCAAGAACTGCGTGGTAAATAACCAAAAGCTTTGTAAAAATAGAAACACGCACAGACAACACGAGCAGAATTTATTCTGTAAAAAAATGTCAAAATCTGTTATTCTAGGATTTTAAACAACAACTGTAAAAGTGACATTTTGTGTGGCTGTACTTTCACAGTGGAAAACCGTCAATCTAATGAGTTTATCACACTTGTCAATGTAAAATCTAAAGTAAAGCAACACAATATTTTCTAACACAAAAGTAATAACGGCTTGAGCTTGACAATAGTAGTGTAAGCACCACAATGAACAAGTTGCGATTTCATTGTTTGAACCAGACATTTGATTGGCTGGATTTGAAAATTTTGGAATCTATTGTTTCAGTTCTGCCATTTGATCGGTTTTCATTGCCTGGGTGGCCCCGGTTTTGGTAAACACACTATAACTATATCCCAATAAATATTATTGACAAAATATCCTGTTAAACTTCTGGGCCGGGTTGTTCAAAAGGCTGTTAACGTTAACCCAGGATTAACCGTTAACTGAAGAATTATTTTTTGCTGTTTAAAAAAGTTTTCACTTCTAACGTTTGGTGTAGTTTGAGATTACTACAGCTCAAAACTAAAGGGCAGACAATATAAACAGAACACCTCACCAAAAAGTTACAAAACTGAGATAAAAATTCTCGTTAATCCTGGGTGAGCTTAATCGGGCTTTGAACAACCCAGCCCTGGTTGGTCTCTGAACTGATTTATTCATTGCCTGTGTATATGTAATTGTTTAAGATAACAAATCAACAAGTAGAACTGGCATGGTGATTGATTGGCAAACAAACTGACTAACAGGTTAACTCACTGATAAACTGATATGTAGACTATCTGACATACTGACCAGGTGAACTCCTCTGGCAATGAAATAAGTAGCAATGAGTGCCTCCCTTGGACACTTTGTTAAGCAAATGTAAAGGGCAAACAAGGTGATTGAGTGACTGACTGACTGAAAACTGGCAACTGAATATACTAACAGATTAAAATGATTTGCTGAATTGCAGACAGACACAGACACAGAACGACAGACAGACAGACAGACAGACAGACAGGCGGGCAGGCAGGCAGGCAGACTGACTGACTGACTGACTGACTGACTGA